ATGGTCCATTCAATACTCTTCTCCAGCACCACAGCTCAAAGGCGTCAATTCTCCTTCTATCCTCCCTAGTCATTGTCCAACTCTCTGATGAATAAAAAGTGATTGCAAAAACCATGGCCTGTATCAGGCACACCTTAGTCTCCATCGAGTCACCGTTGCTCATGAGTATTTTAGAGAGGTCCCTAACAGCAGACTTTCTCATCGCAATATGTTTTTTGATTTCCTGGCTACTGGTGCCAAGAGTGTTAACCTTTATTATTTAATGTTTAATATACTTAATTACTCTAAATGTTGCTTACCTGCAGGAATCTTCAGTGTCACTAAAGTTGCTTGAATTTGCATGAGTGTTCATTTGCTCTCTTTCACAAGGGATTACCTAGTTTCTTATGTAGTAGAAAGATATTTTTTGTGGAGTTTCTTTTATAGCCAACAGCACCAACAACTATTATCTCTTGTCATTAGAAGTTATTTATGATTTTCTAATATTTTCCTTACGGGAGCTCAGTGGCTTAGTGGCAAGAATCTGCACTAAAATCCCAGATGTGTGCAGTTCAAGTCCTCCCGATGCTCTGCTGGAGAAGGAGGGACAATCTCCTCCTGGACAAGTCACATCTGATTTGACAGTACACACACAAAAAGTAATAAAAAATAAATAATTTAAAAAATTATTTCCTTCCATGCTCAAGAGTGATGCCTTATAGTTTCCTGACAGAGAACTGAGTTTTAATCACCTGCACCAATGGGATTTGAAAGAGAAAAAAGAAGACAATAAACATCCCATCATGACGCATTCTAATTTACTTTTAAAATAGAATATTTTTTTGTCTTCATGCATGCTTTATACTTATTTCCACGTTGGACTCAACATAACTTAGAATAAAGGCCAAATATAACATATTAGTAAAATATAACAAGGAAGAGGGATGAAGTAGCTGAGTGGGTAGGACAATGGATTGCTAAAATTAAAGAAATAAAACCTAAATGAGATGAGGTAGAATGACAATAGAGTCTTTATAAATTTTATCATAGTTTTATAATAAAATTCACATTTCTTTATTAACCCTCTGGAATATATAGTATAAAAGAAGCAAATTAAGTAGATATTATGAGAAAGTAAGAAATCTTTGCTACTTTGTCATGTATTATTGAATCAGAATTGCCTCATAGCTGACCCTTGAGGGGATTTACAGAGCCAGTTAATTACATGAGAGGAGATTGCCCATTTTTCTCCCATAGAGCAGCTGGTGGATTCAAACTGCATGGCTTTGAGTTGGCAGTGCAACTACTTACCACTCACCACATAACTCCCTTCTTTACTATGAGTTGTGTTGTTATTGTTATGTGCTATTGACTCACCTTCAACTCAAAGCAACTTTATGTACAACAGCCCTAAACCCTGCTCTATTCTGTGCCAATCTTATTGTCTTTAACATACCTACCTCTATTACAGCAGGCATTGGATCAATCCATCTCATTAAGGATATTCCTCTTTTGCATTATCCCTCCATGCTTCCAAGCATGACGTCCCTCTCCAAGGACTGGTCCCTTCTTGCAACATGTCAAAAGTATGTCAGACAAAGCTTCAAAATCCTTGCCCCCAAGGAATAACCTGGTTTCACCCTCTCTAGGATGAAACTGTTTGTTCACCTAGCAGTCCATGGTATATTCAATAATATTCTCTAGTACCAAAGCTCAAAGGTATCAATTCTCCTTCTATCATTTCTAGTCATTGTCCATCTCTCTGATGTGTAGTAAGTGATTGCAAAGACCATGGCCAGGGTCAGGTGCACCTTAGTCTCCAGACTGACATTGTTGCTCTCCAGTACTTTAGAGAGGTCCCTGACAGCAGATTTTGCCAAAGCAATTCTATTGCCACATGAATGATAACATAGGTTTTCTATAATAAATACTTACATCGATCAATTTTTCCATTAAAAATAACATAGTAAAATAATTATTCCTTTTCTTGATAACATTTTATGAAAGATAAAATCTGTTTTGGTTACTACCACTGTGTAGTTGGTTTTGAGGTCAGGGAGTGCTATGCCTCCCATTTCAACTTTCCCAGAAAGTTTCTCAGAAGGATTTTGCTTATTTGAGATCTCTTGCCTCTCTAAATAAACTTGGCAATTTCCCTTTCGATCTCCTTGAAAATGAATTTGGTATCTCTATTGGGATTGCAATGAACATGTAGATAGCTTTTGTTAGGATTGTCATTTTTACAACATTGAGTCTTTCTATCCATATTTTCCCATTTCTTTAGGTCTTTTATTGTGTCTCAAAGCTATTTGAATGGCCAGCAGACACATGAAGAAATGCTCAAAATCATTGGCAATAAAAGAGATGCAAATCAAAATCACAATGAGATATCATCTCACTCCAGTAGCAGTGGCAAAGTTTAACAGAACAGCAAGTGGTAAATGTTGGAGAGGATGTGGCCAGATAGGAACTCTTATTCATTATTTGTAGGATTCTGCAACGGTAAAACCACTCTGGAAGGCAGTTTGGTGCTTCCTCAAGAAGCTGAACATAGAAATTCCATATGGCCCAGCTAAGCCACACTTGGAATATACCCTAAGAAAATGAGAACTGAGGCACAAATAGAGACGTGTACACCAATTTTTCATAGCAGCATTAGTAACCATCATAAGAACATGGAAACAGCCCAAATGTCAAACCATAATCGAACAGATTGAGAAATTATGGTACATTTACTCAATGGAATACTATGCATCACACAGGAGCAATAATTTTTTAAAATTACTACCTAACTTGAAAAGGACCGAAAAGTATTAAGCTGAGTGAACTAACTCAGTACTGTAAGGACAAATACTATATAAAACCATTACTGTAAAATGAGCATTAGGATCCATGGGGGGCTGGAGGGTGGAAGGAGAGAGGTGAGTACGGCCTGGTGTGTGGGATGATTAATCATAGGTCTCACAATTTGATTGCGGGGGGTTTAAAGAAAATGGTAAAGATCCTATGTGAAAAAGAATGTATTTAAACTTTGTAAATAAACACACACACACACACACACACACACACACACAAAGATAAGAACTGATATTAAACTGAAGTTGATTCTTTTAATATTTATCAAGGATTGATATAGGTTCATAGTCTTCAAAAAACCTAAGAATCAAAGAAGTATCTAGATTCCAAGATTAGGAAAAGATAATAACACTAGGAAAATCTTACTTTAAATATTAAGTCAATTGGAGTTTTGTGTTGATTGACATAAAATATTATTTTATTTAAAAGAAAAGTTTTGGAGATCTGATACTCTGAATTGTTGGGTTTCCTTGAATTTGATTTTTCTCTTTCCATTATTTCTTTCTTCTAGATACACATGAATACACTGACACTCAGAAAAAGCAAATACAATCTTTTAGCTTTTTGTGAAAGATTTAAAAAAAAATCAGGAATGTGTTACGGGACTAGTGGTATTTGAAAAGACTCCATACACATGAGTCAATCTGAGGGCTGACAATTTACACTCTGAATTACATATAATAATAAAACATAGGATAATATAAGAAGATTTTGTTTTCTTTTAAAACTTAGTAAATGTGAAAATTTATTCATAGTACATCTAATTACAATATGATTTGGATTCTGTAGGTACAAATTTATCTGCAGAAATAGAAACAAAATTCTTTGTCGAGCAAAGCTTAAGATTTTTTCATTTCTTCTCAAGGCCAAAACTTCTTTTGGAAAATATATCACTAAGGGCTGATTTTACATCTTTATTCCTGAGGCTATAGATCAACGGATTCAACATGGGGGTTACAAGATTATTCAGTATCTGAATTATAGCACCAAGCAAAGGACTGGGATCAGGCTGTAAATAGATGATGATGACTGGACCATAAGCACAAAGGATGGCAGTGATGTGGGCACTACAGGTAGATAATGCGCGTTGCCTGCCCTCTAATGAGCGAATTTTTGATACAGAAATTCCAATGCAAATGTAGGAGACAAAGATGAGGAAAAAGCAAATGAGAGACAAAAGACCAACATTGGTAAAACTTACTTTCTGGACTAGAGAAGTATCTTTACAAGCGAGTGGTAAGACCGCAGGGATGTCACAGAAGTAGTAGTCCACTTCATTAGAGTTGCAATAGGGTAACTGGAAAGTGAGGGAGGTTAGGATAGTGGCATGGATGCAGCCACCCATCCAGGTTCCTGTGGCCAAAATGGAGCAGACTTTGTGGTTCATGATGACCATGTATCTTAAAGGGTGACATATGGCCACATAGCGGTCATAGGCCATCACAGTGTAGAGGAAACACTCTGTGCACCCCAAGAAGTGGTAGAAGAACAGCTGAGATGCACAACCATGAAAAGATATCACTTGACTCTGTCCCGAAAGGTAGACTAGCATCTTGGGGACAGTGGTTGATGAGAAACCCAGGTCAAACATGGATAGATTTCCCAAGAAAAAATACATAGGAATGTGAAGTCTAGAGGAAGAGAAGATAGCTGTGAGGATGAGCACATTTCCCATGAGGGTACATAAATATAATGATGAGAATAGGAAGAAAAGAACTGTCTCTAGTCCTTTTGTGTCAGGGATACCCAGCAGAATGAACTCAGTCAATATGGAGTGATTTTTCATTTTCATGGATGAAGTCAACTTTTAGATATCTGTGAAAAAGAAGTTTGTGATTAAATTCAGTAAGTTCTTCCAATAATTTATATGGTGGCAAAAGCAACAAATAAAGAAGTGGAAAAGCACCAAATCACTTTGCTACTTTAATATCAGCCTGCTAGCCCAAAAGCCAAGCATCTATGCCCCTTCAAATCCACCAGTGGTTCTTTAGAAGAAAGATGAGCAATCTTCTCCTGTACAATTTAGTCTCAGGAAATGGATGTCAGGCATAAGCAATTGTCTGCTTAATGACAATGAGTTTGAGTTTTGATATAATATTTTTATAATTTAATATTTTTGATATACTATTTTTAAAAAACTTTATATACTAATTTGAATTAAAAAATGCTTCCAGATACATTTATCTTGATCTATTTTTCTCTCCTTAGTAGATTTCTCTATATAGTGTAGCTTTCAGTTAAAGATATTTCACATGAACATTTTTACCTTGAAGCTTTATTATTGTACATAAAAGTTGAAGAATATTCAGTCTGGACCTTTTATCTCTCATCCTTCATCTGCAGCACTGAGTTATATTATACCAAATGTCACTTTTAATTCTGAAGAGACTAAAATAATAAAGTAGGCTTTCATTCCAGTTTCTCATATTTATCTGATGCATTTTTTACAGTTAACTATTGGGAAGTCAATTATGCTGATATAAAGCTCTAAGTTGAAACTCGTTATCTTTAAGTCAGAACTAATTCATAGCTGACACTACATTGGGTTACAAAAATGTAAATTTCAGGGGAAGATATTGTCCATCTTTCTGCTTTGGCAACACTCTACTAACTGGAGAGGTGTGCGTTTTGGGTTAGCAGTGCAATTGTCACCACCACATATACAAAAGAGAAAACACTTTGTCCAACTCTCATACTCGAGAGAATCAATAATGAGGAAATAATCTAAAGAAAATTCTTAGATAACTTAATAATGAAGAAATTAGTTTAACAAGGTGTATATACCATGAGGAAATCACTAGGTCTATAAACTCTGTAATTACTCAAACAGATCTAAGTTAAGTAATATGATAATTTTATAATCCAGAAGATAAAGGGGAAAAGATAGTAGCTTTAACTTTATCAACAAAGTAAAATCTTTACAGATCAGTCACGTCTTGCTTTCTAAGATCTTTCCTGTAGTCATATATTTTATTCTCTTGTTACAGTTAGCAGAGTTTATGTGAAAACAAAAGTAAAAAGTCAAGGACAAAATTGAGCACTTACATGGATAACAAGGAGAATAGCTGCCCGGAATTAATAAAAGACATTTCTCTTTCCTTCCCCAGCAGAAGGAAAGGAGCCCACCCCACCCTCAATCTCCGTTAACCTGTTCTCCGCAGCTAGATAATCCAAATTCTTCTCCTTTTCAATCACTAAAATAAGTGAAACAAATCTAAATACGCTCCCCTACATGATTTCATTTCTAAGTTCTTTAACATCTCAGTCCCCAAGCATAGGGGATCTTAAATAAGTTTGGCCTTCCTTTGGGTATTATATTCTCAAGTCAGGGATTTATTTAGAAAAAGAGCAATTATCTAACTCCTTGGGATAATTTCACTTTAAAAATAAGCAAGAAAGTGACAATTAGAGAAAGAGAAGTGAACATAAAGAGAAAATTTAAAGTGGAGAGAACAAGATCAAAGATAGAATATTTTAAAAGATGTTTCTGATTTATTTTATCATATCAATAGAACAATATTTTCAAAAAATTATTTGGCACACATATAACACTTATTTTCGTGCTTTTTATGTTCATTGGTTTTCATGTGCATGTGTAAAAGAACCAAATATCTCACTTTCAGTTCACAGAAAAAGTATTTGTAAAGATAAAAAATAAAGAAAATATTTTAATCTTTACAAATAAAGCATTGCTGCAACATACCACTTAGAGTTGACTTACTGCAATAATAACTGAATTTTAAAAAAAAAGTCAATGAAAAAGTAGTCCCATGGAAAAGTGAAAAGTATAACAACAGCTCCAAGGACTACAGAAGCAAAAATTTATAAAGTAATCTTAGATTGCTGATGTCAGATGATTCAGCTTCAGCTGTCTTATGTTTCCACATGTCTTATATTAAGATTCAAACCAGATTTCCTTGACTGAGTCAAATGACTATCTTGTGGTCTGTTTACAGGGTACAACAGAATGCAGATAGGCTGTACATCAAGTGATAGAAGAAAAGATAATTTCCAGGATGCATGAGAAAGAAATAGACTGAGTGGTCAAATACAATTTTAAGGTGTCACTTGAAATATCTGTCTTATAGTTTTATATTACTTAGTATCCGTTACAACTTCCAAGTTAAATATCTTGTACTCAATATCATTGTTTTGTACCATTCGGGGGAACCTACTCATAGCGCTGGATTTTCAGAGACTGTAGATAATATGAGAGATTGCCCATCTTTCTCCTGCTAATCAGCAATAGATTCTAACTGCATGTGTTCAAGTTGACAACATAGCCCTTTACCACTAGGCTATCAGAGATCCCATGAATATTCAATGTTGGTGATGTTATGTGCCCTTGAGTCAACTGCAACACATAGCAACCGTAGGAACAAGAACTCTGAACCCTGCTCTATCCTGAGCCAGTCTCACTATCTCCGACACACTCATCCTCATTACCCCAGTTAGTGTGTCAATCCATCTCATCTAGGGTCTTTCTCTCCTGTGCTTTACCTGCACTCTTCTGAGCATGATGTCCTTCTCCAAGGACAGGCCCCTCCTGGCCTTGTGCAATAGGTCTCCTGATTTCCTGACTGCTGGTACCAAGGGTGTTATTTGTGGATCTCAGCAAGATGAAATTGTTGGCAGTTTTAATCTTTTCTCTGTCTATCATGATGTTCTTTATAGTTCCATTGGTAAGAATTTTTGTTTTCTTGACATTCATATGCAATCTATAATGAAGGCTGTATTTAAGATTCTGCAGCAAGTGCTTCAAGCCCTCCTCATTTTCATCAAGCAAGGTTGTGTCATATGCATAACATGTGCAGATTATTGATGAATCTTCCTTCAAACTTGATGCCATATTATTCTTCATAGAGTCAAAGCTTCTAGAATAATTTGTTCAGCATACAGATGTAATAGGCATGGAGAAAGAATACAACTTTGATGCACTCCTTTCTTAACTTTAAACCATGTAGTTTTCCCTTGCTCTTTTCACGCAACACCCTCTTGGTCCAGGCATAGGTATTCCATGAGCATAAATAAACATTCTGGGATTCCAGTTCTTCTCAATATTAGCCATAACTTGTCATGATCTACACAGTCAAATGTCTTTACTTAGTAAAGTATAAATATACATTCTTCTGATTTTCTTTACTTTCAACCATGACCCATCTGACATGAGTAATGATATCTCTGATGTCAAGGTCTCTTCTAAATCCTACTTGAGCTTCTGGCAGTTTCCTATCTATGTACTGTTCTAGCCATTTTAGAATGACCTTCAGCAGTATTTTGCTTGCATGTTATATTAATGATATTTTTCTATGATTTCCATATTCTATTGGATCACTTTTCTTGGGAATGGGAACAAATACAGATTTCTTCCAAATCAATCAGCCAGACAACTATCCACTAAATTTCCTGGTGAGTACATCCAGGGCTGCAAGATTGTCTACTCACTTCTTAAATAGCAAACCTCTGAAAATAGTAGAGTAGTAGAGGAAAAATGATAGTTATAGTATTAGAGGCATTGGAAGTTGGAAGTTAATAAAGATGTGGAAAAATACCATCAAATATCCTTTAATAATTGGAACATGGAATGGACAAAGCATGAATATTAGAAATCTAGAGGTTGTGGTAAATGAAATGGAACTTATAAACATCAATATTCTAGGCATTAGTGAGATGAGACAGATTAGCTTTTGCTTCTTTCAATCAGATAATCACATGGTATATTATGCTGGGAATGAAAAATGGAAGAAGACTAGTGTTGCATTCATAGTTAAAAAGAGAATTCAAGTTCTATCCTGAAATACAGTGTTGTAAGAACATGGATATATGCATATAAAGATGCCTTATTAGTGTGAATATTTTTCAAATACAAGCTCCTATAGGTAAAGACAAAGATGAGGAAATATAAAATTTTTACCAAAACTTGCAGTCTGAAATTGAACATGTATGCAATAAAGATGTTTGATGAAAACTGATAAATGGAATTCAAAAAGTTTAGCAACAATAAAGAAGGAACGGTAATCAGAAAGCATGTACTTGATTATAGAAATGAGGCTGGAAATAGAATAACCGACTTCTGTATATTCATTGTTGTGCTTGTTTTTTAAGTGCTGTCAAGCCATAGACAACTCATAGCAACCCTATGAATGAAAGACCTGAACACTTGTATAACTTTTATCCTTTCTCCTGATACTCTATGGCACTTAACAACAATAACATCAACATAGAGAGAAATCAGCTTGGCCCAATGGACAGGAAGCGATGCTACCAAGCCAAAGGTGGGTGACTTTTAATCCGCGGCCAGTCTCATTGTTTTTGTTCAGACATTCCTCTAGGTCGTATAGACCAGGTGTACAAGTTGCCGTACAGTGGTAACTTGTGGTTGCTGTGAGGCTGAACACTGTGACACTGATGTGTCCGATACATTAATGGTTGGTTACCCAATGCAGACAGAATGGGGTGGAGCTCCCCTATTAAAACAAGCTTGTAAGCAGGAGTGGCATCCACTTCCATAATAGCTTGTTTCTGGAAACCCTGTGAAACTGGAGAAAGGATGAAAGACACACAAGCGTTGAGGACTCTCCTTCATAGGGTTGCTATGAGTGGCCTATGACTTGATGGCACTTAACAACAACAACAACAACCAGGTTCATAAGGTTCCCAGAGGCAAGGTATTTCGGAAATGGATGTCAAGCCTGCTTCCAGGCTTGTTTTAATTGAGGAGCTCCACCAAACACTGTTCACCATGGGTCACCATTATTGCATTTGACACATCAGTGTCACAGTGTTCATCTT